TGTCCTTCTGGGCCAGGCCGGCGTCCGGGGCGGTGCTGGAAGGCAGGGGCAGGCTCAGCGTCTTGGCTTTCATGTTCTGGGATTCCGTGATGGCGCTGCCGAGCCCCTGCAGCCAGGTGCGCATCTCCTCCTGCCGGGGTGAGATGGAGAGAGCGCCCCTCAGTCGCCACCCCAGGACGGCGGCCTCTGAGCCTCCCGCCCTCAGCACTCCTCCCCCCCCCAGAGTCCCACGCCTTGTTGGGGGGAGGGAGGCCAGGAGTCACCCTCAATGGTCCCTCTAATCCTTTCCATCCATGTGTGGAATAAATGTGTCTATGTGCACTGAGGCACGTGCGGATGTGCACCACCAGTATCAACAAACCTAGCAGTGGGCGCTCTGCTCATGGCCTGGGTGGCATCTGAATCCCTCCTGGGCAGCCACACAAGCACCCAGCTGACAGGGAACACGGGTCACCCTGTGTCTAACCCAGCCTGCCCTCCCACTCAGCCGTCACTCCTCCTCCTAAGCGCCCCCACTGGGCACCTGGCGTCATTCCCCAGGCCTCTCAGTGGCCTTCCGAGGTTCACTGGAGTCGTCCAAGGCACTGCAGGGAGCAGGCACCCGACTGCCATGCCATTTGCAGGGATTGGGGCCACTCAGTCCCATGCCCCCCCCCCCCATCACTGGGATCTGGGCACCTAAAAACCTGTGAGACGCTCACTCGGAGCTCGCTGGGTCCCAGGCTCCAGCACTGCCCAACGGGGCAAGGGGTAAAGGAGGGGACGTGGCGGGGGGGAGCTAGAGGACCAGGATCTCAGGGCTAGCCACAGGCACGAAGACCAGTGGGCTGCCGGGCTAATCTGATGCTCTGCACAGAAGCTGGGGAGCAATCAGAGCGGATCGGAAATCGGAATGTCCGTCCCGGGGCAGAGGCCCATGTGGGGAGAGGCCGAGCAGAAAGCTGGCTCAGCCCAGCTTGACGGACCAGAGAGTTCCGACACGGCCAAACAGTCTCAGGGGCAAGTCAGATCCATGGTAATGCGTGTCTTGCTAGAGTTGCTGCAGTGCATCATGGGAGTTGTAGTTCAGGTGTCTCGTGCTCACATTCAACCCTACTGGCTAGGTTCCCATAAGAACATAAGAACGGCCGTACTGGGTCAGACCAAAGGTCCATCTAGCCCAGTAGCCTGTCTGCCGACAGTGGCCAGCACCAGGTGCCCCAGAGAGGGTGGACCAAAGACAATGATCAAGCGATTTGTCTCCTGCCATCCCTCTCCAGCCTCTGACAAACAGAGGCCAAGGACACCATTTTATCCCCTGGCTAATAGCCTTTTATGGACCTAACCTCCATGAAATTATCCTGAAACAGATTATATACCCCAGGATGCACTATGGGCTTCTGGCTGGCTGGGCTGTCATGGGAGGTGTAGTCTGGCCTGGGCACCTATCCCATAGTGGAGAATGGGGGTGCGAGGCAGCTGAACTACAGCTCCCACAAGGGACTGCGGTGGCTTAGCCAGACTCAGAGGAAGGATCCATTTGGGCAGAATTAACATCTACTCCACGGAGAAGGACGCGTCACATTTTCTGTCTGAAAAACATTTGGAGGGGACACTTGTGATGGGCACCATGTTGGCAGAGCTAACACGGGGCTCTGTGAATTGCGGGTCTCAGTGAAAAGATGGCGAGCCATGCAGGAGGCAAACAGAGAAGGGAGGCAGGAGCTGAGGGAGCCAGAGGCTACAGGGTTCCAAGTGAAAGTCAGGGACTGTTCATGTGGCGCAAGCCTGTGCCTCAGCAGAGCCACACAGCCAAGTGTGGGAATGGGGACGCAGGGGCCTCTGTCCCTCCCCCCCACACTACTCCCAACCCTCATAGAGTCTAAGGTCAGAAGGGACCATCATGATCATCTAGTCTGACCCCCTGCACAGTGCAGGCCACAGAATCTCACCCACCCCCTCCTGGACTAATCCTCTCACCTATATCTCAGATATTGAAGCCTTCAAATAGTTTAAATGCCCCAAGATGCAGAGAACCCTCCAGCTGTGACATGTACCCCATGCTACAGAGGAAGGCGAAAAACCTCCAGGGCCTCTGCCAATCTACCCTGGAGGAAAATTCCTTCCCGACCCCACATACGGCGATCCCAAATACCCCGACTGCGCCTGGCTCTCTGGAGAGACCCATCCTCAGCCTAGCTTGTGGCCATGGCAGGCTTATCTCCCAGCATGCTTTGCCCCAACCCAGCCCTACTGCGTAGCTTTCCCATGGGATTACCTGTCTAGAACTTTCCCTCAGCTAGTGGCTCCCCCTTTCTTTGTGGCTAGGGCACCTCAGCCCCCTCCAGTGTCACCCTGAGGACAGGGAGCCTCTCTGGAGAGACCCATCCTCAGCCTAGCTTGTGGCCATGGCAGGCTTATCTCCCAGCATGCTTTGCCCCAACCCAGCCCTACTGCGTAGCTTTCCCATGGGATTACCTGTCTAGAACTTTCCCTCAGCTAGTGGCTCCCCCTTTCTTTGTGGCTAGGGCACCTCAGCCCCCTCCAGTGTCACCCTGAGGACAGGGAGC